TTATCTCTTATAATTATTACATGACAGGGTGAAACCCGCATTGCTAGCTAGTAAAATCCGCTATGATCATCACGCGGAGGTGAAATCCGCTTTTATAAATAAAAAACATAACCGCGGATTTCACCCTAACCTGATCTACGTAGCGGGATTTTACTAGCTAGCAACGCGGGTTTCACCCTGTTCTAATATAATTATTACTTTTTGCAGTAAATAGTTATTATATTATTATATTTGACTATTTAGATTATAGCACCAATCATTATACTCAAAACCCGTTTATATAAAATTCACTCGATATAGTGAATTTACTAATAAAACTCGGTATAATTAAATCTTTAAAAAATTTTTATTAATGAAACGGATCACGAGAATGACTTGTAATAAATCATCTCTGTACACAGAATCTTCATATAAAAAAAAAATTTTTAAAGCACTATAAATCTATCGTATGCCACTGCTTACAGTACCCAGGGATATTCGGAGGGTAGATATAGTATTAAAAGTAGCAAATCAATATAATTATATCACCGGATCTTATTTGAGAAACAAGCCAGTAGGTGGATACTATTTTGGGAGAATGGCAAAATTGAACTATATATATATATATTTGAACTCAAATTTCTTAATAATGATACGTAAATATAAATATTTATTACAAATCTGTACATGTATTAAAATTTATTACAAATCTGTACGCAAAGGTAAATGTTAGTTTATTAAAAGTTTATTAAAAACTATACTTCAAACTTTGGTCAAATTTTTATATTCGCACATTAATAACCGTCAAAGTTTTCTCTTAAATTTACACATTCGAACAACGAGGCCTACCTGACCCAAAGTTTAGGCATCCCACTAAAAATAAAAGAATGAAATTGAAATTTAATCAACAAATCATTAATCATAATAACGATTATCAAAATATTTAATATTTACCTTTTTTGCAATCATTCCTTCAGGAGGTTTCGTTTCCACCTTGCTCTTACTGACTTCACCCCAGTTTGTACTAAGACAAGTACCACTACTCTCTGTGTAACTCTTTAACATAGCTCGTCTGGTATCATCATCTGCATCCTTATAAAGTTGTTGAAACAATGAATTCAGTGCTGCTTCACCTTCCGGTTTTTCTTGATCTTTGCTAATTTCTTTCTCCAACTTGTCCCAATTTTTGGCGTTACGTGCTGATGAAGGATAAGATAATTTATTACCATCAGATTGTGAAAAAGATCCAGCAAGAGAATCATCTCCCTCAAGAACACCCCATTTAATTCCCGGTTTTTCCTTTTTAAGTTTGACTTCAATTTTGGTGGATAACACTTCATGTCTACATTCTTTGGGTGATATCTCATGAGCTAATGGATCAATCTCTAAAGAATAATCAGATCCAGTAGGTAATTTGACTGTAACTGATACCTAATAATAATAATAATAATAATAATAATAATAATAATAATAATTTAATAATGCGCGTTAAAAAAAAACTAATTACATCAATTTCATAATTTCATAATTGATTTTTTTTTTAAAAATCATTAAATCATAAAATATAAAACCAACCGAACGATCTGCATAATAAACATCAACGGTTTCTTGTTTCACGTTCTTAATAAAAATGCTGATAACAACAAAGTTTTCATTTTGATACCACTCGTGTCTATAACAAGATTATTATTGCGTATAGTTAAAAAAAAAAGGTTTAATTTACATACAATTACCTTAAATAAAAAGCATTTTTTTTACCGAACGCGACTTTCAGATAGAAAAGACGACGATTGAGACGACGTACTCATGTTTTTTTTGATAAAAGAATGTAATGGAAAAAAAAGCTACTCTTTTTGATTTAAACTTTTGCCTTTTATTACTTGCTCAAACTTGATTACCTAACTATAAAAGGTAACAATGTGATCTCATGATTTAATTGATCAGGTAATGATTATCGTAACTGCGCACAATAAATTAAAAAATCAATTATCCTATTAACAGATTGTCCAGAAATTTCTAGCACTTAAATTATCAATATCCGGAAATTTCTCGACATTTTTTTTCCAGACATATGTATACGTACGTACGTACTACGTAAATTTAACTATTTTATTGTTATTATTCGCTAAATAAATCTAAATTCACTAAATACAGTATGATAATTATAATTTATTACTACGTAGTGCAATGCGGCCGGGTTAAGGGATTAGGTTAACAGCAGAAGAAATGAGAATACCGTGATTCGAAGGATCACGGGATGATCATTTTGGATGACAAATAAAGAAGTATCTGATTTTGAATTTAATGTGCTAACCTGGGCCCCGAAGGGCACAGGTTGTCAAGCACATTAAATTCAAAGTCAGATATGCTGTTATTGGATGCAAAACATCCAATAACGGGTTTATCTGTTATAACGTGAGTTTGTGTGAGTCTATTTGGCTGTTATCCGACAAACTCTTATGATCATGAATTTATTTCTGTCTGTTATTTTTTTCATGTGTTATGAAATATTTACATCTACTCGAATTAAAACTCAGCCGACGACTCCCTACTAGAGTTGCTGGTGAAACTAAATTGTAGTGGTGAAACTGGTGACTATCTAAAATCTGATTGGCTATTGAATGCAA